TATATATATATACTGTTGTGGCGTGCAGCCCGATCCAAGAATAGTCGACTGCGCTCACTGGGGGTTTGCAGACTCCAGAGGGGCTCCTTCAGCCCAAGCAATATACTACTGCGGCGTGCAGTCCGATCCATATAATATACTACTACGGCGTGCAGTCTGATCCGCATAAATATAAATACTGCTACGGCATGCAGCCCGATCCATAGCATATCAAATACCCTCACCATGGGGTTCTCGACCCCTATCAGTCAATATAGACTTGTCCTCTGGGGCACACTAAGATAAGACGGGGTTCTCAACCCACGCGCTACTCTCATTAGGATTTAACAATTTCTAAAGCTGGTTCATATTATGTTTATCAGTTAAGAACATGACTGAGGGTATGATTTCGACAAGAAAAGTGAGGTCAACCAATACGAATGCCCTCTAAAGGTTCTACAGATCGGCACAAGGCCCCAAATATGGCAACTAGCCCATAATATAACGATATTAATTAAGTCTCAGGCAAAAGTACAGTAGAGTCATAAAACGGGATGGACCGAGTCCAAATCCCCAATAGTAACCGACCCCACGCTTATCATACAGCGTGTGTCTCATCCCAACATAGCACCACGTTGTGCAAATCCGGGGTTTCAAACCTTCAGAACATCATTTATAACCATTACTCACCTCAAGCAAGCTGAAATCCTAGCTCGCTACTCCCTTGCCTCGCAAATCAACCTCCTCGAGCATCGAATCAAATCAAAACCACAAGTAATAAGTTACAATAGGCTAAGGTAATACAACCCAATCGAAAAAATATCAAAAATCACGAAGTTGGCAAAACCCGAGCCCCGGGCCAACTTCTCGAAAAATCAGAAAATTAACATCACCGGATTCCTTATCTCACTACGAGTCTATGCATATCAAGTTTACCGAAATCCGAGCTCAAATGCTCCCTCAAACCCCCAAATTTCTATTTCAAAAGTCAGGCCCTAATCCTTCCCTTTTTAATCAAATTTCCATGAATTTAGATGTTGAATCTACAATTAAATGATGTTTTTAGGTCATAAGACTCACCTCCAATCAATCCCAGTCGAAACCCTCTTTAATCCTCGTCCAGAAGCTCTCAAGGATGTTCAAAAATGGAGGAAAATGGGTTTGGGTTCGCGGATAAAATGTTTTTAACATTCTGCCCGGATCACTGTAGCTAACTCTATGCGATCGCATTCAAGACCCTACGATCGCATAGACCAAAAATCCCATGGTCTCAAATTACCCTATGCGATCACAACAGGCCCTATGCAATTGCAGTGCCTTACCAAACAACATTGTGCGATCGCAACCCCTTCATGCGATAGCATTGAACAACCAAACAGCCCCTAAAATCCTTCTATGCGATCGTAGGGTCTTGAATGCGATCGCATAGAGCAAAATTGCTCTGCACAAACTGCTGCATTTCTGCAGCATTTTCCAACTTCAAGAATTCCCGTTAACCATCCGAAATCACCCCGATGCCCCCGGGACCTCAACCAAAAGTGTCAACCCATCCTAAAACATCATTCAAACTTGTTCCAATCATCAAAACACCACAAACAACACCAAAACCATCAAATTACATCGGATTCAAGCCTAAATTTCTTTAAAACTTCTGAAATACGCATTTGATCAAAAACCCGACCAAGACACCTCCGAATGATCTGAAATTTTGCGCACACATCCAAAATCACCTAACGAAGCTACTAAAACTCTCGAAATTCCATTCTGAACCCCGTATCAAAATCTTACCTACCAACCAGAATTCGCCAAAATACTAATTTCGCCAATTCAAGCCTAATTCTACTCCGGACCTCCAAAATCAATTCCGATCACACTCCTAAGCCACATATCAACCCCCGAAGCTAACCGGATCACCTAAAATCACATCCGAGCCCTCTAACTCAATAGTCAATATCCGTTTGACTTTCCCAAAACAAGTCTTCCTTAAAGAGACTAAGTGTCTCATTTCCTATCAAAACCAATCTGATTTAACTCTAACACACCGAATACCGATAACGAAACATGAAGAAGCATGAAATGGGGGAAACGGGGCAGTAACTCATGTGACGACGGGCTGGGTCGTCACATCCTCCCCAACTAAAACAAACGCTCGTCCTCGAGCGGGTCAAGAAACATACCTGGAGCCTCAAACAGGTGAGGATATCTACTCCGCATCTCCCGCTCGGTCTCCCAAGTAGCCTCCTACACGGGCCGACCTCTCCACTGCACCTTCACCTAAGCGATATCTTTTGATCTCAATCTCCGAACCTGACAACCCAAAATAGCCACTGGCTCCACATCGTAGGTCAAATCGTCATCCAATTGGGCCATGTTGAAGTCTAAAACATGAGACGGGTCCCCAACATACTTCCGGAGCATAGAAACATGGAATACCAGATGCACACTTGACAAGCTGGGTGGCAAAGCAAGCTCACAAGCCACCTCCCAATCCTCCGAAGCACCTCAAAAGGCCCAATGAACCGCGAACTCAACTTGCCTTTCTTCCCAAACCTCATAACACCCTTCATGGGCGAAACCTTCAGCAAGACCTTCTCACCAACCATATAGGACACATCTCGAACCTTCCGATCCGCATAACGCTTCTGACATGACTGAGTTGTACGAAGTCTTTCCTGAATCACCTTCACATTCTCTAAGGCATCCTGAACCAA